AGTTGCTTTTTATGTAGGTACCATTGTGTGTAGTAGCTGCTGTTTATGTAGGTACCATTGTGTGTAGTAGCTGCTGTTTATGTAGGTACCATTGTGTGTAGTAGCTGCTGTTTATTTAGGTACCATTGTGTGTAGTAGCTGCTGTTTATGTAGGCACCATTCTGTGCAGTAGCTACTGTTTATTTAGGTACCATTGTGTGTAGTAGCTGCTGTTTATTTAGGTACCATTGTGTGTAGTAGCTGCTGTTTATGTAGGCACCATTGTGTGTAGTAGCTGCTGTCTAATGTATGTACTATCCTGTGTAAAGGCAATATGTTTTGAAGTATATATCATTTTGTTTATACTGTTTTATATGTGAAAATACAAGATTTAACGTTATCTTCTAGGTATAGAATACACTATGCCATTAAAAGAGAATGACAACAGCAGTGATACACTTGATGGAGAGAATCCCCAGTTAAACTGTACTACCGGAACACCTACAAGTCAAGAAGAAACCGAGTTCGTACAGTTGTTTTTATTATGTGTTGAAGTTATGAAAAAATGCTGTATATTGAATCAAACTGTGTTACTGCAAAAATAACATTTAAATTTGTTTTACAGGATAAGCCTGCTTTCTTCAGGGATGAATTACTCTATTGATTTTATAATCTTTGCCTTCCTTCTTAAGAGATGAATTACCCTAGTGCTTTCAAAGGGAAGACCTTCCTTCTTAAGAGATGAATTGCCCTAGTGATTTTACAGGGAAAAATTTCTTTCTTCGGGGATGAATTACCCTAGTGATTTTATAAGGTAAACCTTCCTTCTTCAGGATGAGTTACCCTATTGATCTTGTAATCTAGGCCTTCCTTTTTCAGGGATGAATTACCCTAGTGCTTATAAAGGGAAGACCTTCCTTCTTAAGAGATGAATTACCCTAGTGATTTTATAATCTAGATCTTCCTTCTTCAGGGATGAATTACTCTAGTGATTTTATAAGTAGACCCTTCTTTTTCAGGGATTAATTACCCTAGTGCTTTTATAAGGTAAACCTTCCTTCTTCAGGGATGAGTTACCCTAGTGCTGTTATAAGGTAAACTTTCCTTCTTCAGGGATGAGTTACCCTAGTGCTTTTACAAGGT